CCACAACCTCTGCCTCCCAGGTTCAAGCAATTCTCCTGCCTCAGCCCCCCGAGTAGCTGGGATTGCAGATGTGTACCATCATGCCCGGCTAATTTTGTATCTTTAGTAGAGATGGGGTTTCTCCATGTTGGTCAGGCTGGTCTCAAACTCCTGACCTCAAGGGATCCACCCACCCCAGCTTCCCAAAGTGCTGGGATTAGAGGCGTGAGTCACTGTGCCCTGCTGAGAATCGTTTTTACTTCTCTGACTTCTGTTGCTGCCTGCACTCCTTGGCTTGTGGCCCTTCCTTCGACTTCAGCAGCATAGCATATTCCAACATTGCTCTGGCTCCCTTGTCATGTCACCTCCTGCTGGCTTCGACTCTCGGCTCCCTCTTATCAGGATCCCTGTGATTGCATTGGACCTACTCAAATAAACCAGGACAATATCCCCATCTTAAGATTCTCAGTCACATCTCAGCCAGGTGTGGTGGCTCACCCCTGCAATCCTAGCACTTCAGGAAGCTGAGGCGGGCAGATCACCTGAGGTCGGGAGTTTGAGACCACCCTGACCAACATGGAGAAAATTCATCCCTACTAAAAATACAAAAACATGATGAAACTCCGTCTCTACTAAAAATACAAAAATAGCTGTGCGTGTTGGCGCATGCCTGTAATCCCAGCTACTTGGGAGGCTGAGGCAGGAGAATCGCTTGAACCCAGGAGACGGAGGTTGCAGTGAGCCGAGATTGTGCCATCACACTCCAGCCTGGGTTAAAAGAACAAAACTCCATCTCAAAAAAAAAAAAAAAAAGATTCTGAGTCACATCTAGGGTGTCCCTGTTGCTGGCAGGTGCCAGAAGTTAGGACTTAGACATCTTGGGGGAGGCCATTCTTCTGTCCACCACCCCACCCCATGATTCCATTTCCATGTTACCATTGTCTCGAAGTGTGTCTGAAACCCATGGCTCAGAGTTGAAGGTGCATCACACCAGCGAGAACTAACAGGTTTGGGTTTTTTTCTTCGTGTGGTTGGCTTCTAGGCTGTGGAACTGTGACATAACTAGCAAAGGCTGCTGTCACCTCGCAAAGCTTCTCCACGAAAAATCAAGCCTAACGAACTTGGATCTGGGGCGGAATGACATAGGAGTTCCTGGAGTGCAGGGCCTATGTGAGGCTTTGAAGAAACCACTGTGTAACTTGAAACGTCTGTGGTGAGTTAGCTTATAAGTTCAACTTACGGCTTTTATACCTTATTGAATCTGTGTCTAACGTAAAACAATCAGTGAAGCAGACTTCCGGTGATGTAACTGAGAGGCCAGTCGAGCATTCACTAGGATGGCTAAAGGAGTAAGTTCTAGTTTGTGTCATGCAAAGACCAGCCGTGAAATTTTGAGGATACAATGCCTCAAGCCATTCAGAGAGGTAGGAATTGGGCCGGGCGCGGTGGCTCACACCTGTAATCCCAGCACTCTGAGAGGCCGAAGCAGGTGGATCACTTGAGGTCAGGAGTTCGAGATTAGCCTGGAAAACGTGGTGAAACCCCATCTCTACTAAAAATACAAAATTTAGCCTAGCGTGGTAATCCCAGCTACTCAGGAGGCTGAGGCAGCAGAATCGCTTAAACCCAGGAGGCGGAGGTTGCAGTGAGCTGAGATCACATCGTTGCACTCCAGCCTGGGTGACAAGAGCGAGACTCCCTCTCAGAAAAAAAGAGGTAGGAATTGGACATCGTGCCAGAAAATGCTGGCTATATCTGCAGGTGAATAGTCTCAACCCGGCTGCCATACAAATCCCATGTGAGTTAGGTACAATCAAATGCACTTGAACCTGAAATCCTCCCTGGGAGGGAATCTTCATTTGATTGCAGTTGGGTGAAGTGGCTCATGCCTGTAATCCCAGCATTTTGGGCATCCAAGGCGGGCAGATTGCTTGAGGCCAACAGTTTAAAAACAGCCTGGCCAGTACAATGCAAACCCTGTCTCTACTAAAAGTACAAAAATTAGCTGGGCATGGCTGTGTATGTCTGTGCTCTCAGCTGCTCAGGAGGCTGAGGTGGGAGAATCACTTGAGCCTGGGAGGAAGAAGTTACAGTGAACTGAGATCACATCACTTCACTGAAGCCTCGATGACAGAGTGAGATCCTGTCTCAAAAAAAAAAAAAAAAAAAGCACCTTTTTAATCACTCACTGACATGGGCAGAAGGGCAGAAAGTTTGATTTGCAGGATGACACCAGGAGGTCGAGGCTGCAGTGAGCCAAGATGGTGCTACCACACTCCAGCCTGGGCAACAGAGTGAGACCTTGTCTCAAAAGAGAAAAAACGTGGCTGGGCACGGTAGCTCACATTTGTAACCCCAGCACTTTGGGAGGCTGAGGTGGGCGGATCACCTGAGATCAGGCGTTCAAGACCAGCCTGGCCAACATGGTGAAACCACGTCTCTATTAAAAACACAAAAATTGGCGGGGCGCGGTGGCTCAAGCCTGTAATCCCAGCACTTTGGGAGGCCGAGGCGGGTGGATCACGAGGTCAAGAGATCGAGACCATCCTGGTTAACATGGTGAAACCCCGTCTCTACTAAAAATACAAAAAATTAGCTGGGCATGGTGGCGCGTGCTTGTAATCCCAGCTACTCAGGAGGCTGAGGCAGGAGAATTGCCTGAACCCA